GAGACACACTTGAGATTACTGTGGCCTTTTTCTCAGAAAAAAGCAAAAGACTTAAGTAACAGCTCCATTTATTCACCATTTAAACTCACTTAAGAGAAAAAGAGATCTCATTTGTGATTTTCCCCCTTCCTATAAGAGACCTTCACCCACAGGTTAGCAAGGCTTTAATTGAAAGTGTTTCTCAACAGATAATACACAATGACAGTAATAATCACTCTAAAACTTAAGCTTAATGATAACTGCTTAGTACAATGGCTCGCTATTTGTCAAGAAAACTGCGACAAACCTTGAGACAAACCTTTAGCTGCTTTCTCACACTCATAATAGGGCTAATTATACTGTTTCTCAGCCATAGAAGCTGAGAAATATTCAACTAAAATTGATTCTGTGCAGCTTATTTGGAGCAACCTACTGTATAGATACATTACTCATGAAAGCTCAAAAATGAGTAGGTGAGATTCAATTCATTGGGTAATTTGTAGAAACCTTCAGGCAGCTGTGTGGATAAAATGATGTTCTACGATGATCTGAAACGTTCTTCATGAACTGTGTTCTTTAGCAATTGATTTAAATGCAGATATCATTCTTAAATATGAAGTTAATTACTCTTCATTAAAAAACAAATCAAATGAAGCTTGGGTAATCAGTATACAATGGCAAACGTAAGCCAGCAGGGCTTGGCAATTCAACATGAAATCCGCCGTAATCTGATTGGTTCCACTGTGCCGATAAGACAATGCAGCAAACAGGCTTATATTCCCACCCATGTTATTGAGCCTCTAGTCCCACCCTCATACAGTCAAACGAGTCAACCGTGTACAGTTCTCATAGAAAGCAACTGGTTTTGCTGAATTATGATGAATTTGGTTCAAAATACTTTACCAGTAGAGTTTGACTGGAAGTATGGATTTTGAAATGCATTCTGTAGCTCAAACAGCAGACCATGGTGCAAGAAATTCATGGAATCCAGTCAACCAGTGTCCCGGAATTTGGCAAAATTTTCATTTCATAGGTCTCTAACAAGGTCATGGGTTCGATTCCCAGGGAATGCATGAGCTGAAAAAAAGTATACCTTGAATCCAGTATGAGTCGCTTCGGATAACAGCAGCTGCCAAATGCATAAATGTAAATGTTGACGTCACCAAAGTTCATAAGGCTGTTTATTATGAAATACTGACTGAATATGATTAAAAGGTCAGTTGCATTTTATAATTTCCATTCAGCATTGTTTTCCCCTGCTGCTAATAATCAGAACAGACCTGAAACCCTTTTCTGTGTTGCTAAGCATCAGTTGAGAAAGCACTTATATAATGCATCTCTGAAACTGCACAGTGTTTCACTCGATGTATGAGTTAGACCCGAGGATATCCCCAGTCTTAATTGAAAGGCAGAAAGTCTGAGAAAAGTGAGGAGTGGAGTTAGTAAACAATGGTGGGGAATTATGGGTCAATAAAACAGCGTTCCACTGAGACTTCCAGCAAGGGTCAAGGGCACTGCATTGATTGGCTCAACATAAAGCTGAGTAGAGTGTGTGTGTGTGTCTTTATGTGCCTCCAGAGATGCACAGAGAGAAAAGTGCACAACACAGGAAGGTACAAAGACAATATTAAAGATTCAAGGATCTTCTAGAAATGACTGTAAGCATTAGCATCAAATTATCACGCATTATGCTCCAGATCCAACATAGAATCATTTAAAAATGATACTATATGCAGAATATAAGGCATAAAAAGCAGACTGTAATGCACAGTGTTGTCTTTTTTTAAAGGGGTCATGAGATGCAGTTTCAGATTTTTATAATGTGTTCCTTGAGGTTCATTTATGAAGTTTGCAAATTTTGCAAATATTTGTTAAAATGATAATTTTCCATCCTCATTTTCACTCTCTGTAAAACACACACAATTTCAAGAGCCATTATCTTTGATCGCTGTGATTGGCTTTATCGTGCTGTAGCCATGCCCTCCTATACAGCATGTTGTGTGTTTTGATATTTGAGATGGTACATGCACTCCAAAAACACTCTAAAAAATGCTGGGTTAAATATAACCCAACAAAACAACCCAACCGCTGGGTCAAAACAACCCAATAGCTGGGTTTGTCCCTTTTTAACCCAGCGCTGGGTTATATTTAACCCAGCATATTTTAGAGTGTGCTGTGATAGAGCCGTATGTTTGAGCCCGAGGCAGAAGAAATTTGAACAATGCTACCATTTGCAACACAATGCAACATAAACATAGCCAAATATCTATATGGGTTACTTTTAGAAAATTTCTTAAAAGAAGACAACAGTAAAACACTAGTTACACGTTGTGTGAAGGGTTAATAAAGGAATGGTAAAATATACTACAAAATATTCAACTCAAGCAAATATTTCTGGTCCAGGTACGTACTGATATAATTAGCAACACTCAAACAATGAAACACTTGGTGTCTTAGTAGCATTAAAGGGTCATGAAACCCCAGACTACTTTTTCTGAGATTTTAGCAGAGGTGTTTGTGTTGCACAAAGTCCCCTGAAATGCTTAGAAACACGCATGTGTTGACGTCATTTTAACTGAAACAGGAAGACAGGGCGGGACATATCAAGCAGCCTTTAATTTTGACTTCATGGGGACTTTAATTATTCACAACAGCATGTGTTGATTTGCTATATGACAGACGTTTCAGAGTCTGTGAGATGACATCGCGCACAATAACTGAGAGAAACGTCCATGGATCGAAGAAGAGTGTTTGTTTTTGTTTTGTAATAAGAGTTTGACACAAAAGCGATTCATTCACTTGGTGAGCATAACCGCTTTTACAGCTCTGTGACACAACCCGTCAAAAGGCTTATATAAAGGGGCGGGGTTTCATGACCCTTTAAACACTGATGTTTATTACAAACACTGTAAGATTAAAAATAAATGTACCTTACCTGGACAGAATGCTTGGAACCACCATATCTTTCAATAAAAGATATTGTGAAAAACTGGCAACATGTTTAGAATAATTCACAAAACAGTCCGTTGTGAAATATGAAGAACAAACAAAAATCTTTCAGTTGCTCAGGCACATCATTAAAAATACATTACATTTCTAAATGCCATGAATTTCTAATGCTCAGATCTTTAGGAAGGCTATGCAGAGTTTTTGGAGGTCTATTTTCTTTACGTCCACCGACAGAACAATGTCTGAGTTTAACGGTCTTACTCGACCCGAATCTGTATCCAACTGTAGTATTGCTCTTGCGACTGATGAAAGAACAGACATGTTCAGAACACACCTCCTTGATTACATACGACGATGACACGTTTATCGAGGTTAATCGTAATGTGATGATTCTCCTTATTTTTAAATCCAGGCGTTCCATGAGGGTAGAAAAGAATAATTCATATTTTTAAATGGGGAGTTAGTTTCGAGTTGTAAACCTTTTAGTATTTTTATTGTGGAGTAACCTACTGTATTGTATATGTCAAGAACATTTGTTCTCCATTTCATGACCCCTTTAAAAAACTGCTTCCCGGTTGCTGTCCCGCAGAACCATGTCAGACACCGGCTCACAGACAAAACAGATGATTTGTTCTATTAATGTTCATTTGTCGCTTGCTACATTTGACACCTGACACCCATAAAGTCTGATTCATAACTCTCTCTCCCCTCTGTTACGATTCCACTTCCCCCCCAGTGAAAAATGAAACCATCAGTTAATTACTCTGTTCATTTAACACGCTCTCTCACTCCCCTTCTCTCTCTGTTCACATTGTCTTGATTAAGGCAGACCGGAGCATATAAATGTGCTTCTCATAAGGCAGTTCTCCTAACAGCTGTCAGTCATCGCTCCAGTAGACACTGAAGGGACAATGTGGGACTCGTTTGGATGGCTGTAGACTTTCCGTTCATTTCTCCTTTCGGTTTCAGGCAGCCTCAACGAGACTTTATGATTTTGTTGGAGACTTTGAATGTGCTGATTTTCTACTGTGAGATTAGGTTGGGGAGATGGAGTCACACCCATAGATGAAGCCTTAAAACACATGCCATGAAGTATTCCGCAGGGTGTAATAAAAGGTGTTGTTTCTAATTATATTTATAACTATATTTTTACATTTTCTGAAGAAAATGTGACTGGTGCTTTTTTAATGCAAAACATGATCCTATGGTTTACAGGATTAATTAAAGCTATAATTAAACTATTATTACTATTAAAATCATTTTTATTAAGTTAATTAAAGCTGAAAAATAAAATATAAATATTAGATGAAAATTTGTAACTGTAAAAATTAGAGATAAAGGCCCCGATTTACTTCTTTTTGTTCTTCTGATGTGAACTATGAACAAACTTCATTTTGGCCTTTTGTTCAAAACTATGTCACAATTTATTTATTTTTTCTAGTTTTTGTTGTAGCTATTTTAGTAGACCAAGTTAAAATAAATTAAAATGAGAACATAAAATGAAACATTTTAAGTAACTTTTTAATGGTTTTAATTTCAGTTTCAGTTTTAGTTTTATTTAACTGTAATAACCCTACTACCTGGAAATGGATAAAAACTAAAACTAAAATTAAAACTAAATTAAACCTAAATAGTAGCAATTAAAACAAAGACAAAAGCACATAACAGAATATATTAAAATATTAAGATAAAATGAATATGAAAATATAAAAATAAAGAAAATGCAATATATTAATAAAAACTATAATAGTACACAAATAATTTTAAAATAACATTGATGGTTATCAGGGTGTTGCTATGGCTGGATGTTGCAGGTGGTTAATTAAGTCAAAAGAGCCCACTTCAAGTCTTTGTGATATTCAGGTGCCATAACATGCTTTTTATTTCTTAGTATAATGCTACTGTATACATGTTTGTTATTTATAGATTTATTTATTTATCCACAGAGTATCAGTGAGAGATCATTGTGAAGTCAGATCAATCAAAGGTCTTATACAGATAATCTTCACAGATGTAATACCTTCTGTCACCTATCATGGTTTAATCCCATGTCTCCCGGTGTCTCTCCGCAGCCCCTCAGAAGAGTGACATTTTCTGTGGTGAGTCAGACACCTGATCAATGCTGCTATGATAGTGGAGTGGAGGACTCTGAGACCCCCAGCAGCAAGAGCTCCTCTGGACCCGGACTGGGATCTTTACCGCTGCCTGAGGACGGATATGAAAGGACGACACCAGAAGGGAGCGTAGGCGAGGAGGAGCATGTGGAAAATGGTAAAAAGCCATCTGTGGGAAAGGTCTGAGACCGCTAGTGAAAAATGACGTGCATATGTTGTTGTTGTTGTTTTTCCTTTTAAAGGGATAGTTCACCCAAAAATGAAAATTCAAAAGAAGGTATTTTGAAGAATATTGGTAACTGAACAGTTTTGGCTATCATTAACGTCCACTGTATGGACAAAGCACACTAAGACATTTCTTAAAATAACTTCTTTTATGTTCCACAGAAGAAAGACAGTCATCCAGGTTTAGAATTCTATGAGGGTGAGTAAATGATGACAGATTTTTCAATTTTGGGTGAACTGTCCCTTTAATGACAGCAGCGCTAGAGCTGCATGAATCATTTATTATATTATATTATATTATATTATATTATATAAAACACAATATAAAAACCCAAATACAAATACAACTCAAATACAAAACTGCAACATTAAAACACTAAAATCATGCAATAAACATGAATCAAACAACATAAGATGGAATATAAAACCCTAATGTACATCATTGCTAACAAAAACTAACAGGAAACATAATTGTTTAAATAAAATACCATTAAAACCCTCTACCGCACGCATTATGATAGACCTATAGAAAAAAATATTTGAATATTTTTCTTTTCTAAATATCTCAGGCAACTGTGGGAATATCAGTGTACATTTTTGTTCACTGTAAATTATAAAAATGTGTTTTTATACTTCTAAAATCTGTTTAACAGTATTTACTGTAAAAGTACTTAAAATGTCCCATTAGGTCTATTACATTTTTTCATGGTATATAGTAAGGGAACTTGCAATTAAACATTTTACTGTAGTATTTTTCAGTATTTTTACAGTGTGGTTTTATTTAGATTATTGGTAACACTTTACAATAAGGTTCCATTAGTTAATGTTAGTTGATGTATTAACTTGCATGTATGATGTATGAACAATGCATTCATTACAGTATTTATTCATCTTTGATTATGTTAGTTAATGAAAATACAGTCGTTCATTGTTAGTTCATGTTAATTCACAGTGCATTAACTAATGTTAACAAGCACAGCTTTCGATTTTAATAATGCATTAGTACATGTTGAAATTAACATGAACTAAGATTAATAAATGCTGTAGAAGTATTGTTCATGCTTAGTTCATGTTAACTAAAGTAGTTAACTAATGTTAACTAGTGAACCTTATTGTAAAGTGTTACCAGATTATTTTTCTAATTTTATACCATGTTCTTATCATTATGAATTATATTTCCAGCAATTAAAATGTTAACATTAATTCTTAGAATTTGGCTTGTTCTCATTTTGGTTTGTCCTTCTCCTTTGCATTATTTACAGCAGTATATTACAGCAGTACTCAGACTGACATAAACCTGGTCACAGGCCTTCGGACGCCACTGTAGACAGACAGAGTCATTTATTCACCAGGGACATCATGAGTGTCTAAAACTTGACAGTCTGAAGAAAAAATTTTGACCTATGACCCACGCATATTTCAATAGAGACAGTTCCCTGACAGGATATCCTAAAACTGCCTCTTTCTCTGTTCCTCAGACCCCAGGCAGCTCCCTGACGTGGCTCTGACAGGAAAGTGCACACAAGAGTGTGATGAGTTTGGTCACTCTGACACCTGCTGGATGCCCGTGCAACTATCACCACGGAGACGCATGGAACCACCCCAACTCTCCACCTTCGCCTCGCCCGGCGATAACAACAACAACACGGAAGACGACAGCGACCGAGAGGAAGACGGAGACGGAGGTACGGATAAGAGCAGCGGAGGAAGCGAGGAGGTCCGGGATTCGCTTGCAAACGGAGATCCGCTCGGAACGCTCAGCCGTCGGGACCCGAACAGGAACATGGGTGATCACAACCGTAATCTCCTGAACCGGAAAATGACCTCGGCATCCTACGACACATTCAGCAGCGCCGGCTTTGGCCGCCGTCCGGATGAAGAAGACTCACACCCCCCAGAGGTCATTCCACTTACGAGGACGGGGGGCGACTATAAGACCACCTCGTGCCTCACTCTGTCTCGCAGGGAAGTGTACCTGTGAGCTGCAGCCAGCCCTCAGAGCAACTTCACTGCACCGGAGCAGGAGGATCATTGAGATACTAGCCTATACCTGTTCAAAACAGGCGTCTTCTCCTTGCCAAAAATTCATCATCAGTTCATTACTCTAGATGCAAAATATCAAAGTTGAGGAGAAAAAGTGAAGCATCTTTTATTCTTTCATAAACTTGGATAGACTTTGTCAATGGCAAACACTTGCATGTTAGGCCTCCCAAAGACAGGGGGCGATGTGGGGACTGATGGACAAAATCCAGTCACGGACCTCATAAATGGATGCTCATTTCATCTGATCGTGGCACATCATGAAAATAAAACCATGTAGCATCAGGAAAAAGGAATTCCTCACCAATCATAGGGCGACAGCGTCAACTAAATATTTTAATCTAACTAGTTTCCTGTCGCTGAGCCAGTATGGTTATTTAATTGCAGTCACATGGTAAACACTAGACATGTAAATGATTTCATCACAGACTTTTAGAGAAAAGAAAAAAAAAGAAAAGAAAAAAAAAGGCTGGTCATTCATTTCTATCATTTGTAAAGCTACATTACCTGTTTTTTTCTTTTTCCTTTTTTTTTTTTTTACAAATATGGGAATATACTACAGCTCTCAATAGTGCTTTGAAATGTTCAAATGGAATTCTTTGCTATTTCATCACTTCTGTAATGGAGCAATTATCACAATGACTGTTAATTTACCATCCCATCAGATCTCAGAGTTTAAATCAGCCAATTAAATCATGCCACACATACAGTACTCTGTACACAGCACAAACACACACACACACACACACACACACACACACACACACTGAGATACATGTCTATATCCATTTAGTGCAGATGTGTGTGTAAAAGTCTGTATGTACTGTATAAACAGACATTTTGGCAAACCTGAGGCTTTTTTAAGAAATGGTTTTTTGAAAGTAGATGTAGCATTTTTGCCTGCTTGATCTTCAGCTAGTATATAAGACACTGAAGTGTATTTGAATAACTAATCATCTGTGTAAAGTGCATACACAGGGGCATTAAACATTGTTTAGATACATCTATACTATACTATAAACAACAAATATACTGTATCTCATCCCTTTTAAGTAGAGATCATATGTAAACCAAATTTCTTTAAAGGCAACACTGCATGAGGATAAGCTAATGCTTATTTTGTTAAATAAGAATCAGATTTAGTTGTTTTTTCTGAGGATATAACCTCTGTAGGAGGGCCGTGTGTGAATGCAAAGCGAGGTCGGTGTGAAAAGTTCGATGGAGGAGAGCTAGATCTTTAATTTAGCCAGAAATTACACACACAATGTAGCTAGTTGTTCAAATACCTGTATTACAGTTAAAACCAATCAAGACATTTTAATGAGTCTTTGTTAATCTTACGGCAGCCTCGTCCAGGTCTTCATCAAGCCTCTGGATTTTTCAAATTGAGTTTAGGAATGACTTTTTTTTTTTTTTTTTTTTAGCTGGATGCATATCTGTCGTAAAATAATCATATGCATCTCGTGGCGT